ATTCCAATTAAGCTGAGCTTCCTTAATCACATAGTATTACGTGGTTTTCTCCTTAGAACTTTGGATCTCTGACCAATGTTAGTTGCTCCATTCCCTCCAACCTACCTGGGTGCTTGACTACTGTCTGATGTGTCTTCACCTTCCAGGGTTCTTTGTTTTGCTCCAGGCAAGTGATAAGGTCTGGCTTAGAGACAGCAAGCCCTGTTTTATTAGAAAAAAGAACATGACTCTTGTTGGGCATCTCCAACTGGCAATCTATTACCTTGCTATAGTAGAGAAAAGAACATTTTAGAAGATCTTGAAACAATAATTCCCAAATAGACGTTCCTTACAGAAACTTTGGTGTTTTTTTTTTGCCAGGGCTGGGTTTGAACCTGCTATATCCAGCATATGGGGCCGGCGCCCTACCCTTTTGAGCCACAGGCGCCGCCCCCTTACAGAAACTTTAGACTCTTTGAAAAGTATTTAATGTTGGAAGATTCTTAACTCCACTACCCAGTTCTGCTGAAATAATATTTAGTGCTAGATATCACAGTTTTGTTTAGCTCTTAACTTAGCTTCTGTTTGATTTTGATTTTGTTTTCTTTCTTCATTTCTTTTTAATACTTGAAAAGTATTAGCAAGTCTGTGTCTTTGTACTTCTGGCCAGGGGTCTCTACAAACTTCCTAGTAGATTCAATGCTATCAAACACAGCAAATATTAATCCTTTAAATGCTTTGTGTGATGTTCTTCTGATCTGAATATTTAGTACTTGATCTTTGTCTTCTAACCATTCTTTTATGTCATCAAGGGTTACATCAGTTGGGAATCCTTTAATATAAATAGATCTGTTTTTTACATCATTTTTGTATTCATCAGTCACTTCAGGGAGGAGTCTGCTTGGAGACCATCTGCTTTTGGTTTTATCTTCACTGATTTCTATGAGTTCTGCCTTAGATTTGCTCAGTGTTTCCACAATTACATTAAAGTCTGTTGTGAGATGGTTTAACCTGTTGAATTTTATTATGATTTCCAAAAGTACCCAGCCTTCATCTGATTTGATCAGTTCCTTTAAAAATTTGTCCCGTGGCAAACTGAAATCTCCAAAATACTACTCAATTTGATGACAGATTTTGGCCTCCAGAGCAGCCATTTTTTCATTATCACCATTTTCAGCCATTGTGGCAATCTTCAAGGACCTGGTGACCACCAACAGTGACCCCTGCAGATGCGTGAAG